ACAAGAATACCATCACTGTTTAAAAGCGACGGTTCTTGGGAAACAAATGAGCCCCTATTTTTAAAACTAGTGTCTTGATGTGAAAGCAGACTAAGAAGAATTCCCAAATTCCACAAGCAGTGAACACTGACCGCAGACATGTGGTTCAGACATAACTGCCGTGAACGGGTCCTTCTCAAAAACTGTTCTGGACCGGGAGGGTATTGAACCATTCCTCTTCAAGTCCGGACGCAATGTGTTACCACTACACCACCGGTCTCTGTGCTACAAGGTTCAGCCTGGCAGCACATCTACTGTGTATCTACCCCTCAAGCCCAGACACCCCTTCTTTTCATGCCCTTTTTTTGTGGCAGCTTCTTAGCCGGCTTTTCGCGGGTTTTCCGCGACAGTAACAGCGTTGGCATAAGTGTGCAGCCCAGTAACATCACTAGCACTACATATTCTTACCGACTGTCCGGTTGGCCCGTGATAATCCTCAATAATTGCGTTACAATCCTGTGTTACCACTTGGGGCACGCAGAATTCGATTTCTTACCTTACATTACCTGTTAACCATATGGACTGCTAGGCTTTATGATACACCACAAGAAGCGCAAGGAAGGAAGTATAAAAAAAAGATGCATTTTAGAATGAAGCGGACAAATATGAGAAGTATAAAAGCACCTCTTCAACATCAGCAGGACGCCCTTTTCCGGCCTTTCGATGATACTCGTTCCGTTCGTCGTCGCTTAATTCAAACCACATTTTCTGGAGCTTCTCCTTCGGCGTACCCCTATATTCTTTTGAAAATTCCACAAAGCCACTCTTATATACTTTACCAGTGCATTGATCGCCATATTTTTTGCGCCACTTTTTTATCTAAAAAATGCTTAAATTTTAACAAAATACCTAACAAATAACAATAATACCTATTCTTAAGTTTCTTTTGACTGCATTCAGCTAATAATAGTGCGAAATACAGCACAAAATATTCTTAAAATAAAAATTTTTTTAAAAATTCCAACTCAGTGTCCTAGGGCCGAATGCCGATTCTGGCCTATTCTCTTTTGTCTGCAAACGTGAGAATCCAAACACCTTCACATTCATTATTCCTATTACTGCTGCTGTGAATACCACTAAATTTGAAACCA